CTTGGGGCATTTCTCTGAGTCATAGAGGCAGTAGGAGCTCTCCTCCTTAATGCTGGGAGCGAAGGAGCACGAGGTGGCCTGCTGGCTCTCCGGCTCTTCCATGCGACAGGACCGGGGGGGGTCTAGCCACACTTCCATCCCTGACACGTAGGGGTGCGAGCTGGGGACCATGCTTTGAGAAGTACCTTCATTGCGTTTGCTCAAAACGGGGAAAAGTCCGCAGCTTTGCAGCCCGTAGGACAGATCGGACGCTTGTGGCAGGTAGATACCACTGTTGGGGTAGTAGCCTCCGCCTCCGCCTCCTGCTCCCGCCGCTTCCCCTCTGCCCGAGCTGATCAAGGAGTCTACCAAAAAAGAGTTTGCAGCCGGGCTCTCGGAGCATGACATTGTTGTGGAATAATTTGGCGAAGGGAGCGGATAGCCCTTTCTGGCTGACATTTCTTGTGCAAAACATGCTGAATATGATTAGAGATACCCCCGCACCACGGCAGACGCCTGCAGCCAATGGAAGCCCGGGCCTCCCCAGCAACCCCTCCCCGTCTGGTTTCGTATGCACCGAGCTGCTCTCAGGTCGACCTCTGAATTTGGGAGATAGATGTATATTAATGTGTAATATGGATTTCCATACACACAGGCCCGCACGCTTCGCCCACATGGGCGAGTGCCTGCGCCTGGACGGGAGCCGCGCTCCCGGGAAGGGGAAGGAGCGGGCTTCGCTAGTACTGGCTCCAAGTTTTGCTCCCCTCTTATCACACGCACCGCTATAAACTAGCCCGGCGGTCCTGATGTTTATTATACCTAGGCTGAAGCGGTGTCCAGATGAAGCTTTTACTATCGCTCCTCTCTCCCCGCAGTTGGGCTTTCCGGCGGCGATGCCCGCTCACCTCCCTGCACAGCCTATGTGTCTCACGAAATTAATAAAGCCACGGCTCGCCCGGTGTTTTATGCCCAGGCGCCGCTCATTTTATTTGATTGTCTCGTTTTTTAAGAAATAAAAGACGTGTTATTGTTTATCACGGATCATTGGAAACCGTAAAGGGGCCTGGTGCCTCTCGCGTTAAACTACCGAGGAAGGGGGCTGCTTCCAGCCTAACATCACGGCCACGACGCCAGGCTGGGCTTAAATTTCCTGGAGATAAAATGCTCGCTGCTGCGCTGAAGAATCTCGTAGGGAGCAATGCCACTCTGGGAGGATTGATTGTGCGGTTGCAGCTCCTAATGCTCTAGTTAACGCTGGATTCTTCCCGAGGTCTGATTACCGTTTAAAATATAAAGCCAGACATACGCCACAGAAAGAATCCAGACGCAAGCGGTTCAAATGGATCCTCGCAGGATGCTGCGCACCCTGTTTATTGATGTGTTTATATTTGGGCGATCATTTTTATATCTCCCCCCCCCTCCCCCTCAATTTGGGTCATTCACTTTTCGCCTCTTCAAAAGCACCGTCTCTTTCACAAGCAATGTACTAAATAATAGAAAGAAGAGTAAGTAGATGAGTCCTGAGATACCAGACAGCCCCGTCCAGTCAATATGTAATTGTGGCGGAGGTAGCAGACAGATAGCAGACAGACAGGGACGCAGACAGAGAGACAGATAGATTTTCTAATGAATCGCTTAATGATGGCTTGCTTTCACTTCCATCATCTCTCGCTTATGCCATTTTGAAGTCGCCTCGCTGCCCGGCCCGCGGAACTAAGGGCTCTTTACTCCAAGGGGAGTCTGGGGCTGCCCAGTACTGGCCGCCCACCTCTGAGAAGCAGGGCTCGCTCCTCTCTCCCGCACCCTGCCCGCGGAAGCAGCGGCCGACCGGGCTCCGCTTCCAGCGGGGCGGGCGGGGGAGAGCGGCTGCCG